GACCCGGGCACCCAAAAATGTGACTATACCTGCGAGGAACTGGATCCGCTTTTGGGGAACACCTATGGACCATGCTGCCCGCAATGTCCTGTATCGCATCTACCACAACACTATCCCTACAGCTGAAAGGCTTTTCAATATGAACCAATCCTTTATCTCATCAACAACATGCCGGATCTGTAGATCCCACACCGACACCCTACCTCATTTCCTAATTCTATGCCCAAAAAAGTATCAAGTTTGGCAACGGGTGTGGACTCAACTTTGCTATCACGACCCACGCCCATCGGCTTTCTTACACTTCCTCACGACCGGTGATCCCCCCTACTCTTCTTTCACACATATTCAAACTTCTATCCATTGTCGCATATACTTTACTGGCCCTCTGGCGAAGCCATTGGGACCTCATTTTCAATGATTCCCCTTTCATTCCAGCAAAGATTGCATCAATAGCAATCGCAGCCATTCAAAAATATGTTTTCTAATTGTATATATCTCTTGTCTTCCCTTCCTTACAGTTCCGAGGCCGCTGTGCTTTCCCTCTTCTTTTGAACGGCCCACAGCAATAAACTATTTCTGAGGTTTAAACACCTCCATACAAAAAAAAAATACCCTGCAGATGCGGTAACGAATAAACAACAGCATTCAGGATGTCTAGATTATATAACTAAAGTCATCCTGGCAATAGCAACATAGAGAGCAAAAGCTAGCTCAGTCTTCCTTACTCTCAAAGAAAGAAAAAAAGAGATGCAAACGAATTATTGAAAAGTAATATGCAAAAGGCAACCATGACTGAATCAACCCACACTTGTGACAAGCATTTACTGACGTGAGTCAGCAGGAAGCAAAGGTAGTCTAGGAACGAGGAGCTCAGGAAGAGCGCAACACAGATCTTTCTTCTTTGGATAGTGACAAGTGATGCGTGTGTCAAACCTCGAACGTTCCAACAGCTTTCCCTTGAAACGAAAACTCCGTAGAGTGAAAGCGCATTGTTACGCAACGATTTGGCCAATTTACTTGGTACTCAAAGTGCACAAAGGGATGGCGAGCGAACAAGGTGATCAATCGAGCAACGCATTACGTGCAAAAGGGTCGAAAGATGTACAGTAGGAAGTCATTGCTTATAATGTTACTCTCCTGATCGTCCCAATGGATTTTGAACGCTGCTCAAAAAGAACTTTATCAGCAGCAATGAAAGCCAGTGAAGGGTGAGTCAACTTCACTAGCGGCAGCGTATACTTACCATGAGCGGACAGCTTATCTGCGGCAGCACATACATACTTGGATAGAGGTTACACGGCGTAGTTCAGAGAACTGTTGGCGGATGGCGAAAATTATAAAGCAACAGTAGACAAGCACGCTTCACAATAAAAGATAACGATCTTTGATACACTGCAGCGTTGGAGTCAAGTGTGTGTTGTATCTATTCCCGCACACCGCACATGCAGTCAAAAGATACTAGCAAAATGGAATCGTGTGTGGACTACGCTTTATACTGTTTATCTTGTTGGGTGAAATGGAACTGGCTGCTGGGAGGATCGTGTCCTATGCCGTAGAATCTGTTAAGTTGCTTACCGTGTCAGACAATCCTATATTGCCATTTTATTGCTCATAGAAAAGCATTTCTTCCGTAAATCTACATGCTCATTCACATTCGTGTCTTTGTTTTCGCTTGACACGGTGCTGTGCACGGACCCCTCACAACCAAGCGGCGACAGCATCGGAGGTACAGCAGCCCATGGTGAGAGACACGTACCACTACCGCCGAAGCACGCTTGTCTACTTGACCATCAAGTATACCACTCCTTTCATTTCCTTTGGTGCTGTATGTTTTGTTATATCATAGTAGGCAACCCACAAGTTGATACGCAACCCGTTATCTGGGTTAATGAGAATTCACGGGGATTTGAAGTCCCGAACGAGAAAAATGTCTATATAAAGCGAGCAATTTCGCCTTTCTTTTTTCTCTTCTCTTCAGTTCGTTTTGGTACGGCTTTGGTCTGTAGTACAGATGCACTGCTCTGTGCCATGATCGGGTCATATGCCTGTGCTGGCTACTGTCCTAATTCTTCTGATGATCGGCAGATTCAGTGGTCCGCCCTGAAGAAAATTTTGCAATGTTACCAGTGGGAATGTGGTCATATACTCCGGCAGCCGATCGTGAACCTTCGGGTGCATGTGATGCCAACGGTATATGTTGGGATAATTGAAACGAACTTTTTTTTTATTATTTATTACACACAAATAAGAAAATGATAAACAAAATAAAAAATATATTTTTCTTTTTCGCAATTTCCGCATAAACGTTTTACCGCTTTTGCCTCGCCTTTTTTTTATGTGCACGACAAGTTCCTTATTTTTTTGCCCACCCACAGCTCTGTGCTAAACAAAGCGGAGAACAATCTGTATCGTAGCCGACAGTAACATGATCACAACGCGCTTTATCACACTTTGACACGCCTTTTCACCTTCTGTGATCGCCTAAGTTGCGAAAATGATTGTAGAATAAAAAATGTTGGGAGGTATGCACACCAGCAACAGCGGCGCTTAAGGCAGGCTGTTCTAAGCTGAGAGAACCGGTTCAATGGTATGTTTCGCTCGCCACGCCCCTTTCACCCCCTTGATTAACCGAAAACATCGTTGGCTTTCACTGAATAATAAACCCACATAGAAACATGTGAGAGAAAAGAACGAGCCCACGTAAGACGGACTCATGTGCTCAGAAGCAAGGCTAAGATCATGCATGCTTGACTCTCGTACGAGCCGACCATCCTTCTTTTTTTTGTATTTTGATTTAGTCCCACATATATCATGCATCACCCACACATACGCCGATGAAGTCACGTTACGTCTGATTGACTTTGCATCGCTGCTGCTCCGGCAGGTGGTTGATAAAACGAGCGAGCCAAAAAACAGTATCAACCTGAAGAAGCAGCCTGTATGGATAATAGTAGCTCTAGGATGACGCGCATACTTTGCTGAAAACAGCCATGCTGCTCCATAATCTGCCCTTGACAGTTTATTTTTAGCTGCCCACATCCAGCATTGCGGGCTTGGAGGATCGGCAATCGCTAATTGCCGTGGGCATATACTCGTATAAGAGAGCGTTCTTTATTTTCGTTACACACGCCACCACAGTTGATGCAACAACGGCCGAGACTTTCTACAATGTCTCACTGGATCCCATGAAGACGCTGGCTACGGCGTTCAGCACATATTTACTCCGACCCAATCTGATACACGCTCAGTCATCCTGGTGATAAGATATCAAACAGCTTGCATAACACTATCCGCTATCATACACCAGTTTTTTTTTTGGATTTGGATTCGCCAATATAACTTGTGGTGACAAGGCATCCATTCTGAGTGCATCATCAGCCACCCTTTCCTTAGTAAATGATCATATAAGGGATTTAAGAGATCACAAATGACACACGTCTATGCATCATGTCGCGTCAGTCCATATCGGGTCATAGCCTTACATAAGCTGATTCATCCGAGTATAATGTTTACGTGCTTTACACAATTCGGTTGGATTGTCTCTATCCTACAGCGCTTTGCTGGTTGCCGTGGTAATTGCTGTGTGTGCTTTTGTTTGATATTTAAGCGAAAAATCTTATGCTGATGATGTATCAGGCAGTGTGATAATGTGTTTTTTACCACAGTGTATTTATATATGTGTTTGCGCTCTGTATTCTCTTTTATAATATAAAAAAAAAACCAGCAGCGAAGGTATGATATTCTACCGAAATGCATGCACACCATAGCCAGTGCTTATTATGTAGTTAACAGGACTTGACGGTATACGTATGCAGGATCCGTTAATTCTCACACCTCTTTAATTTCGCACGATTACCTTCGGATGGTAGTTCAGCTGGTTTCAGAATACAGTGCCGCTGCAAAGTTGCTCAACTCTGTTGATAATCTCTCCATTATGTACAACAAACAGCGCAATACTCTTATTTTAACTGCAAAAAAGGACACTCCTTCTTTTTAGACCAAAAAGAAACAGCTTGACGAACAGCCAAAGACGTCTGCTTACCAGGCCGAAAGGCTCAGCACTATGCTGCGCGAGCTTTACTGTGTGGGTTGCGACTGTTGTTATTGCTTTTTTAAACTCTTAATCGGAGATCGTCGTTGGCACAGGCAGTTAGGATCTGACGAGAGCAGCGCACATATTTGGGCAAGGGATCAGTCAGTGCAGAAATCCAGTAATGCGACAGAAAGTGGCAAGGGCGCAGAAGTGGATGACCGTGCGGTACACCTGATCGAAAGCAAAGTGTATGCCAAGGACATAAGTGGTGAAGCTCGGTAACCGTAGAAGGAGGATGACGTCGAGTGCCTTTGGTTGTGGTTTACAGCCCTTCTACTTTAGCCTTTTACAAACAGACCTGTGTCAGTGTTCGCTGCCTCATTTTGAATGTCGACTTCATTGTTACTAGATCCAATGCTCTCAGCATTGTTCGTGACAAGACGACGATCACATTTGCAACTATATTAGTTCGTTGCGATTATCTTCATTGTGCAATCAGGAACAAGATTGATGCGTCTCGCAGCAAAGCTGAGCATGTTTAATCTTCTTTTGAATGAGGTCTAGAGCTCCCTCCTCGCTTCGCATATGAAGAAGGCATACAACAATCTAAAACACGCACAAACAAGTTCAACGAGCGAGAAGAGAAATAAAACATATGTTTATTTAATACATTATAGTGCTAATTACTAGTAGAGTGTTGATGTCGTTTCAAACAGCTCATATATCGTCCTCCTCAGCCTGCCGTTTCCTCTTAATTTTCTTTCCATGAAGATGACTTTTTCCATATGACACTAATTGAATAACAGTCAAACACTCTTCTATTGCGATTCACGTGAGATATGTATTAGTAGTTGAATTTGTGTGTGTGTGTATCTTTTTATAGTCGCTGTTTAATGGATTTCAATAGGGCAGATGTTTGATAAAGTGAGATGGGTATATGTGTGTGTTTGTATTAAGAGTGATACTACTAAGAGTATGTTGCTGAGAGAATCTTCGACATGCCAGGCAGGTTTCTATGAGATATTTAATAGCCATTAGTATTGGTATTCCATATTAAAAGTAGAAGGCTGCCAAGTGCGCACTTGCTTACCGTCTCAGTTCCCCGTTTTCTTTGACAGCTAGATTTTCAATTTGCATCTCAATCTGTCGCTTAGACATGTCATGTAATAGCCTGTCCTTTGACGATATATTATTAGCTACCTTGTACATATGTTATCTTACTTCTGACTAGTAAATCCCACATACCAATTTGACTTGGCCTCTGAAATCAGTTTTGGCATTGCGTCTGTCTTTCCTTCAATGATCTGCATATAGATATGAAGATACGTTAGCCAAAAACTTACGGCAAATGAGAAAAAAATGCTATAAGATAGGCTGCTTACGCTTGATCGATTGATTTTCATGTTGTGCCGTAGAAGCAATGGATTTCTTCGAAAAGTCGTCGGCTGTGCTAGATGTGTATTTGGTATTTGCAGCATCGTCGGCTTCCACATAAAAAGGATCGTACGGCTTATCTTTAGGAAAATCTGTCACATAGAGCAAAAAGAGAATGTTAACGGTAAGAAGAGAAAGCTAGTTGCCAGCGGAATAATTGCCATGGTGGTGGTTGCTGTTTTGTTATAATATGTATATCCACCTACCAAACAGCATTCGCGTCGCATAACGTTTTAGTGGATCATTTTCTCCTAGATCGCCATCATCGAAAACGGGTCCCACAACAACAGGGCGGATAGCAGTGCGCTACATATATTTTGATTTATGATAAGCATTTACTGATTCAACTGCAACGTCAACACGAGCATATAGGTTATTTCAAAGTTACACTCACTTTTCTAATAGGTCGCATGGCCGGTCTGACTTGACTCGTACGTTCATCATCACTTTCAACACCTTCACCTTCTGATAAGTACCCTTCAGGGACAAGCCAGCCAGCCTAAACAAAAATCCATCATTAGATCTTTCATTGCCTTACATTGACATTTAGATAGATAACTCACATCCTCTGGGTCGGCAACATCTGAAGAAGGATCGTCATCCTCTTCGTCACCGCTTTGGATTTCTTCTCCTTAGCCTTCTGGTTCCCACTCTCCTTCACTATCATGGTCATAAACGACAAGCTGATCGTCTTGGGCAAGTGGTGCTCGACCGTTGATTTTCTTACTCGATTTGGTCCATGTGCCTTGAAAATAAAACGCAAGAGCGAACGGACAAAAAAAAAGATGGGGTTCATTAATTTCCATCAATTCAACTAAATTCTTCTCGTTCTAGTACACGGCTGCTTACCATAATACGCTGGCCGAACATCTTCGGTGAATTGCGAGAACTTCATAGAAACTTGCAATTGATTAAAGTTCTCCATATATCCGGACCAAGCAGAATCGTGCGAAGATCAGTGCTTTGTCGGCGACCTCGTCGTTGAGTGAGTTCAGGCTTGGACTGCTTTAATGCTTGTAGGTATTGCGATCGCAAATCATTCGATACTAACAGTCCCAGGAAGATGTCAGCACACAAACACAACACATCCTTGGTTTTTTTTTCCTCTCACTATAATAGTAGAACCTTGGAAAATTTACCTTCACAGAATCGATAATTGTCAGTTGTGAGTGTCTTGAGGTGATGGTCCAACTCCATATTACGATCCTTATTGGTAGTCGTCCATTGATCCATAACCACATTATCCTTGAAATAGAAGGGTGGGAATATGTTTCGAGTTTCTGTGATTTGGTTCGAGTCTGCCCAACACAATTAAAATTCATGAGTACAGTATCTCATCCTTTCTTGGTATTCATCTTGAAATCATGACCAGACAGCTTACCGCTTTGCCCAGCACAAGTAAGCTTCTCCTCTGGAGCTTTTGTAAATAGAGATGTAAGGCGCAGTTGGGACTACATGAAGAAAGATCAACGTTTAGTGACACTTATTCTGTCACTGCCATAGTAATTATTTTCCTGTTCCTATTCTCTATATTACCTGCTTTTTTTTCCGTTTTTCTTCTTCCCGCTTCCGTCGTTCTTCCTTCTTTTCTTCTTCGCGTTTACGTTTTTCCTCCTTTTCTTCTTCACGTTTGCGTTTTTCCTCCTTCTTTTGTTCCTCGCGTTTGCGTTTTTCTTCCTAATACATAATCAAAATGTCAATACAACGGGGAAACTTTAAAACGCGTGCCTTGATCTTCCTTGTGTATACCTTTTTCCGCCGTTTCTCCTCCTTTTCCAAATTGCTTTCAGCATTGGCGGTCTTGCTTTCATCGTGTGTTTTGCGGTTGTGTTTCGGTAGCAAAATTGCAATTTGTTGCTTCCTTTGGAAGCGTTGAAACAAATAATGACAGAAGTTGAAACCTAGCTCAAAAAATAAGATTTGAATTTAACCGTTTTGACAGATAGCAAAAATTCAAAGTAGCTGCAATATAAGCATATCACAATAAAAATAGGTTTCCTTCCCGTTTTCCTCGTACTGAACTATTACCTGTGCGCGTATGGTCCTTCGCTGATGGATAATTGCTTGGATTTGAGGTGGAAGACAAGTAATATCTTTTACTTCCCACCGCCAAAAGTAAAGATGCTGTATACGAACCTTTAGCTCAGTTCTCACCGAAAAACAGGTAAAAAGAGATCAAAGAAAGAAAACACATACATGAGTTGTATTTGTGGTGGCTCATTTTAGATGGCTCAAAACATCTGGTGATACACCCTATTTTGTACGCGTCGCAATGAACTTTACTGCAGTTTCGATTATCTCTGTAAAGTGGTCGCTGTCTATTATTGATAAGTTAGTCGATCTGACGAGTCTTGTGGCTCTCTTTTATACAGCAATAAATACATACATTGTTCATTTCGTAAAAACGGTGATAATACTTCGTTGATACGATTGAAAAGCTGTCCGCTTGATTCGTTCTGTTTGGTCGTTGCCATAAATGATATTTTTTTTCTAATGCGCAAGATATAGAGCGCTCAGTAGTACGACGAGATATTGATTTGGGAGTTAAGGAACAGATTGTAGTTGCTGATTTGATCGGGCACGATGCAGGCGGAACACCTTGACTCCTACAAGAATTCGACTTGGTTTAGTAAAAAATCAAAAGCATTATGAACCTTTTGATCGCTTCCTTTTTCAAGGCAGTGAGGAATAAGTGAACGTACGTTCTGCAATAGCTTCATAAATCTCAACTCGTAACTTTGGCTCTCCATATGTTACTTTACCGTCTTTAAGTAGCCCAGGATTCTTTTATACTGGAAATTTCAAATAAATGTTAGGAGTTGATTCTTTTCTATTTTCGAATGAAGCATTTAACACTTACAGAGATTGAGGGTGCAACATCCACACGCACTGTTATAAATGATTAAACGACAATGATTAGCAAGGGAATTTGCCTATCTTTAGTTACTCTTTGCTGCAGTGTATGAGGAGTTTCTTACCGGCTTGAAGCTGTTGTGCTGCCATTTGGAATTGTTGATGTCTTGGTGTTTCAGGCGCTGGCATGCTCATCAAAGCAAGAAAAGAGGAGGAGCAGCAGTATGGAGCTGACGCGCGACGCAAACAAGTCGCGACGCAATTTGATGTGAGGAACAAAAATGTGAGTGACAATTGACGAATGCGGATGTTGCTAAGAAAAACCTTTTAAATTTTAGTAGCCTTATAAGCAAAAGATAGAAGAAGTGTTTGTACTTACTGTTTATGACCACTTGTCGAGGAATGCATTTGCAAGGTAAGATCCTTTCAATGGCTTATGAAGGCAGGTCCTAGTTGAACGTGGTCATTCAGTATGTCGATGATGATAAATCGATAATAGCTCACTACTACTATGATGGTTCGAACGACGTACAGTAGTCTAGGTAACCGAATCACTCAAATTTTTTACGTCTGGGTTATATTCAACGGGTATACATACCTTGTATACTTCAATGATTGCTTGTAATACCGTAATGGAACTGGTATAGAGCATCAGCCATACATCACCACTGGCAAGTGCATATTTTGGCGACGCTTGTTTTCGTGATTTTTTTTGTGATTTTTTTTTTGCTTTTCCAGATTTTCGTTGTTTTTCTCTTCGTACTGGCTTAAATAGAATATCAGGCTAATGTAATGATGCATTCAGTACTATTGTATATACATTCAGCAACTCAAGCTTTCTTTCAGAGCGGAAGAAAAGGAATCGAATACTTACACTACCAAGCAAAGGATTGCTCCCAGTCCATGTAGTCGGAGTCGACCAGCATCTGTTGCTCGAGTTGTTGTTGCTGCTGCAGCTGCTGTTGTTCGAGTTGTTGTTGCTGCTGCTGTTGCTGCTGCTGTTGCTGCTTCTCAAGTTGCTGTAGATGCTCCTCAAAGAGGCGTCGTCGATCCGCGTCTTCCAAAAGGTACTCTTGTTCTTCCTGCTGCCGCTGTCGCTCGCGTGCTTCGCACCGGAGAAGCACTTCTTTGTAATAGGCAACTTCGGGGTGAACAGGAACTGGGCGTCGGTAGGCGACTGCCTCGAGCCATTCACGAGTTGGCTCCTCTGGCTCTCGGAAAAATGCACTGAGGTTGGGTAGGGCTGGTGACGATGGTGAGAAGGGTAGTGGTTCTGTTTCTATGCTCGTTTCTGCCGCTGCGGGAATAACACTTGTCACTAGCGCTGTTGCTGCTACTTTTACGATACCAATGACAAATAGCGGCGCTTCTGTTGCTGTTACTTTTACAACGCAGATGATAAACAGTGACACTTCTGTTACTGTTGCTTTTATAATGCCAACGACGAGCAGCGACGCTTCTGTTGCTATTGCTTTTATAACGCCAACGACGAACAGCGACACTTCTGTTACTGTTGCTTTTACGATGCCAACGACAAAAATCACCACCTCTGTTGCTGTCGCTTTTGCTACGCCGATGACAAGTAAGAGTACATTTGCTGCTAGTGCTATTGTTAGGGCAGTGACACTCATCAGCATTACTGCTGCTGCTGCTATTGTTGCGTTAATCAAGCTTGTGACTGCTACGGCTACTGCTGCTGTTGTTGTTGGTGTTAAGCGTTGATTTACCCATCGAGTATAGTATAGAAAAACTAATACTGCAACAGGCATGATTTTCCGCAGCACTTCAACTGACCGGGGCATCGTGTAAGCCACGTCTTGAGAGTATATATCCATGGTGCAAGCAAACCAGAGAGAAAGAAGAAGGATGATAGCGCTAATCACAGAGACGGGATTCAAGACGTGCATGGCGGTTCTGGCTCAAAAAAAAAGTGGGAAAAGATTGAGGGAAAGAGAAGGTATTTTACTGCTGAGGGCAACATCTCTCCTCTTTATCTTTTCGCAAAGAAATGTCATCGACGTCACTCGTCAGATCGCCCCACCTGCAAAGGTTACACGAGCATGGCGAACAATGGATGGGCTTCTTGTAAGCCATCTCTTGACCCGTTGCGATTACCTTCTTCTACTTTGCTTTTACTTTGGAAATGTACAGGTTCTAGGCTACAAGTACATACTGACCTGACTTTTGTACGTCGCTGTCGTGCTGCGTGGCGTTCATAAGAGAAAAAAAATTCTGTTGCGTGCCATTAAGTTATGCGTCAACCCCGTTCTTCTATTCAGAAAATTCTCACGTGATGACGACGACATCCCTCTACTGCTTTTATGCATGGTGGACACTGCGCATCTGTTAAAGGAAACTCCAATTAACGGAGGAGTAGCGAAAGATCACAAAAATCGACTCCGGTGCGGATGAGAGTCTGTGTTCTCGCAAGCACGTTCTAGCCTCTTTGACGGCATTTTTGTAGATGAACGATATGTCTTTGTGTGTCAACGTATTTGAGACGAAAAATTAAGCGTATTCATCCTTGTAATCAAGGAAGAGCTACTTGGTGATTATGTCTCTAACATATGCTACAGAGTATTGCAATTACGGGAAAAAACATACTTGAAGTTATGGATAATCAATAGCAATAGCAACAGTGTCTCGCAAGGGCTGCGGCTATCTACAACTCGTAAGCAAAGCGTTTAACATGTTACTATCAATCGTACAACTCCTCCTGTGCGTATTATACAGTACTGTACTTTGTGTGTCCTTGCTGCTGCAAAAAGGATTAACACGTACATATGTATTTGCTGTATGTGACATAGTCACATTCAATGTGTGGAGCTTGTTAGAACATGTCTCATTCAGTGTTGTTGCTTCGCCTTGTACCGACGATTTTTCATTTCACGTATGTATATCCTTAAGTATTGAGCTGTTTTCCGATAGTTTTGTATGCGTACTGTGGAGTTTATAGCACACAATTGGCCTTCTGGAAAATGGGTGGCAAAGCCTAAAGTGTCTAGCTAGTTTGTTGGAGGGCAAAAATGACTATGAATGATGCTTGGAATGGGCTACTGTTTGTTGCCTGATGCAAAATGTCAGCTACTCCAGACACAGACATACGCAGCGTGAACAAACGGTGGTCGAGGATGATTTTGGGATGACAAAGGAAATGCCAACTGCGCGAAGTATTTGTATATAACGCTTGGCGTTACTCCCAACAGGCCTTCCTTTCTACATCTAATTTTGATATCGCCTAGAAAATGTTACCTCTCTTTCTCTCTCTATCATTTTCTCTCTCCTCTGTCCCTCTGTACTCTTCCATTTTCTCTGCTTTAACTCTACAAATTTAATCGCCAGTTGCAAACTTTTTATATATTGAGCGTCGTATCACACTGTAGTCGTTGCATTTGCCCTTCTAGCGTCATCTTCTCACGTCGAGTTTGAGCTCGTTTTTTTTGGATTGCGACAATTGCCTCTGACAAGTCTTGTGTGTCTCTTGGTATAGCTGGAACGAGAGCGATCAAACATGAAACTCTCCATGAAGCTCATGCTAAAAAGAGAAAAACCGAAAAAATAGCGCGTCCAGTAAATATCAAGCATGAAGATTCTGTGTTCCCCGTGTAGATGAGCCTATTTCCGGTGTGCACTTTTACCATTATCCGTGACCGACCTATTTTGGCCAGTTATCTGCTGTTGGCATACGCTCCGCCAAACGAGCTTTGTTTGGTTTAGTAGCGGCAGACGACTTGTTGGGGGGGTTTTTTTTTCGAATACGCTATGGTAAGTTTTATACCGCCAAGGCTTCAATTGTTTCCAAAAGGCTTTTCAGCAACGTTTTCCACTACGGATCACTAGGGCACGGGAACAAGATACGGTCATGTCCACTAAGGCTTATCCGTTTGTGAGGTTCCTTCGGTAGCAGTTAACGCCCGTCTTCATCAAGACGGACAAAAGAATCAATCTGTTACCCCTGAAGATTCAGCTAACAGTTTTGAACATTTGACTTTCTAAAATCAGGTGCAGAGTAATGCAGTACTTAAGGAATGGCGCTCTAAGTTTTAAAAAATACGTAAGATATCTTGTGGCTTGGTTTGTCAAGAGATGACAGAGGTTTATGTGCATTCCATCATCCATAAGTGAGACCGCCAAATTAATGCTGGCCTAGAGTAGTCAATGTTTTTGTAAATAGGAAAACTGCAATACAGCTGGCGACGGAAGATGCTGTACAAACTTACTTTGATTATAGCAAAAGTACTTTTTAATTTTTCTGAAGAAACTTGTTGATTTATTTTTAGAATCATATTGGCATATGTAGCAACCTTACACGATAAGCCATCAGACGGTGATCCAAAGCTTGAGAATCATCACAACGCACTGTCCCAAGGAATTTGTTGCTTTCGCGGGCCAACTGATTATGTTTTATACCATACGTGGGAGATAAGTGAAAAGTATGACATGAAGACTTCATCAATCGTAACTGTGTAGCAGTAGGATAATGGGAAGAAGTAGTGATATAAAAAGCGTTGCTATACATATGTCGAACTACCTACAGATGAAAACTTATACATATGGCACTCCAAAGGCAGCTCAAATTTCATATGAGCACCCAAAAAGATGGGTACATCCACAAAAATTTAGCATTTGATCAAAAGCCATTAAAACGATAGAATACATTTGTTCTAATTTGCATCCATCAAAGCGATCTCTAAGGAGAAGCACCGCCCATACACATAAAAATTATACATACAAGAGTGTGTCGTCTAATGTGTACCCGTGGAAAGCAATTGGAACTGCCACTCGTTATACAGTTGCAAACAGCGCCTTAGTAGATGTAAGTTAACATATTCTCATGCTTCGTAAAGTATGTTGACTCATTCGATCTTTTGAAGCACCTAATAGTACTGTAGAAAATTTGATTTACTTTAACATGTTAGCAGTCAAGGCCAGCTTTATGGCTCCAATTGCATTGTCATTTGAAGTCTATCATGTGTCGACAGTTATGTATGCACGCATCTGGATCCAAAGAAATCCCCAATCTATATATGCGAAACAATGTACTTACTGTTGTATTACAATGACCGTATTAGATCAAGCATAGAGTCAAGCTTGTTGTCGAATGCTAACGACATACAGCAGTAATTAAATATGGTTCAACCGGGGGAGCGAGTTCATGCATGGAAACAGTCGCTCTTTGCAAACGAGTTGCGGGTCTCCAAATAAAGTACTGTAGAGTCTGATTCTATGACAGCTTTTAAACACACAACTCGAACAACGGGTTCCCAGTTATTCAAAAAGAGTTCCGGGCAGTTGCAAAGAAAACGTTTCTCTAAAAATATTTTCTGACGTGCCCAAAATACTGATACATGCAATGGGTCTCACAAGAATTTTGACATTGTATTACATGGTCAGTGCATAAAATGCTTGTGTCAAACAGTTGCCCAGGTATTGTACATATACGAAACAGAAAGACACAAGCCATTGAAAAGTAGAAGTATTATCAAATGGATACCATCAGTAGAGAATTGAAGGCGCGTGAGATCTGCGTGCATTGCTCGCCCTGCCTAATATGTTTCACCGGTTTCATGCAGGGCATGTCCCCAACAGTGTCGCCGCTTGGTTTTAAACAGGCCATAAGGCGCACAGAAGGTTTATAGGGTTTCAGCAGTACAATCACAGAGGAAAGGAACGGCAGGTGCCAAAAATTACTGGTATTGCGACAAGAAGCTCACATAAGAAGAAGCCATATTCACTAGAAGTAAGGGTGCAGAAGTTGATGACTGTGCTGTACACGTGATCCAAAGTAAAGTGTATGCCAAGGACAGACTGGTGAAGCTCGGTAACGGTAGAAGGGGGATGGTTTACGGCGCTTCTACACACAAACCTGGGCTAGTGTTGTTGGCTGCTTCATTCTGAATCGACTCCATTGATCCCGGATCTCAGCGCTGTTCATGACAAAATCAAAATCAATTTGCCGACGATCTCAGTGCAACGTGCAATCAGGAACAAGATAGACAAGTCTCGCTCGCATATGAAGAAGTCTTTCAACAATATAAAACACGCACAAACAAGCTTAACGCAAAGAGGAAACAAATATTTATTTGATACATTTTATCGATGTCTTAGTTTCGCTGCGCTTAGGCAGCTACAGAACCTCCGAATGCCTCCCCTCTAAGTGTCTAGAACTCGTACATCAAAGACCATAGATCAATCAACCACAAATCCATGATCTAGTATTCATTGAACTAGATTTAGAGGGTACACTTCGTCTCAAGGTCCAATCCAAGTGGTGGGTTGACTACTTTGGAAGAGAGGGAGGACGCTTGAGACACCCTTTATGTTGTTGTTCTTGTTGGTGATGTTGTCGGATTGCTGGGCGCGTCGCTCACAGAACAAAACAGAAAAGAAAAGTCAATGAAACTGAATGAATGTCTCGCTACTGCTAGTGCTGCTGTTAATTTACCTGTTTGCTGCTGTTGTTGCCGTAGACGCGGTTGATAGCGGGTGCTGTCGTCGGTCACTGATGATTTCCACAGCGACGTGTAAGAGGTCTGAAAAGACAATGCTCAAAGATTCAGATTGGAAAATGAGAACACGGAGGGGGAATGGCGACGAGACAAGAATGATGGAGGAAAACTTACCGCTCGTCCATTATCACCGATTGCCGATAGTCGAGTCCTGAGAGTCCAACGCGATCTACAGAGGCACCTGGCTCCTCATTGCGAACCCCGCCATGGCAGACCAGCAGACAAGGCATCCAACCGAAAGTACGCTACCATGTTTCCATGGCAAAAACAGAGAAGGATTTCTCCGTCCTCTGATCTCGCCTGAAGACCGGTTGCGACCAACACCGCTGAACGCCAGACTAAAGAGTCCCAAGCAGGGACCGGTTGTAGGCAGCCAGGGGGACCACGGGAAAAAGGCTGAGACCAGGACCGACAGAGGCAAGACCAGGACCAAGGGAAGAGCCAGAGCGAGGGGAAGACCAGAACCAAGGGAAGAGCCAGAGCGAGGGAAGACCAGAACCAAGGGAAGAGCCAAGAGAAAGACCAGGAGGATCCAAGGGAGTGAAGGGAAAAGAAAAGTGAAGAGAAGCAAAGTGACCTCAACAAGCAGTCCGCACAACCTGCAGGCTATACAAAAAGCATGAAGAAAGCAAGAAGAAACAGAAGAAGTATGTAAAAGGGGGAGGAAAAGAAAGCCACCAATGCCTCGGCCTGGGAGTCCCAGTCTCCCACACATTTGGCTGGGTCAATCAACCACAAACCCAGCCATCATGGTCAAACGAGTGGGAACCATGACGTACGCTACGTTTCGAGAGTCAAGTGCAAGCAATCGGTTGTGGATTGCCTGTGAGTGGGGAAGGGGGAAGGGAAGGACGGAAGGAAGATGGAAGGGTAGACGGAAGGGAAGGAAGGGAGGGAAGGACGGAAGGAAGATGGAAGGGTAGACGGAAGGGAAGGAAGGGAGGGAAGGACGGAAGGGAAGAGGAAAGGGAAGAGGAAAGGGAAGGGGTGGGGGAAGAGGAAAGGGAAGAGGAAAGGGAAGGGGTGGGGGAAGAGGAAAGGGAAGAGGAAAGGGAAGGGGTAGGGGTAGGGGAAAGAATTGACTCTCGAAACACCCAAAAAAGAAAAAAAAAATTGCTGCTGTTGTCGAATGCTGGAGGAGCTGCTTACTGGATACTCGGATGCTGGGAGCCGAACACTGAAGCTGGGAGCTGATTGCCGAGTGTCGATTGCCGAGAGTCGAATGCCGAGAGTCGAATGCCAGAGAGTTGATCGCTGAGAGTCGAATGCCGAGAGTCGAATGCCGAGAGTCGAATGCCGAGAGACGAATGCCAGAGAGTTGATCGCCAGACAGTCGATTGCCAGACAGTCGATTGCCGATAGTCGAGTCCTGAGAGTCGAACGCGATTTACGGTGGCACCTGGCTCCTCATGCGAGCCCCACCATGGCAGACCAGACCAGACCAGCAGACAAGGCATCCAACCGAAAGGACACTACCATATTTCTATGGCGAAAAACCGAAAAGGATTTCTCCGTCCTCTGATCTCGCCTGAAGACCGGTTGTGACCAACACCGTTGAACGCCAGACTAGACAGCCCAAGCAGGGACCGGTTGTAGGCAGCCAGGGGGACCACGGGAAAAAGGCTGAGACCAGGACCGACAGAGGCAAGACCAGGACCAAGGGAAGAGCCAGAGCGAGGGGAAGACCAGAACCAAGGGAAGAGCCAAGAGAAAGACCAGGAGGATCCAAGGGAGTGAAGGGAAAAGAAAAGTGAAGGAAAGAAAGAGTAAAGAGAAAAAGGGAATGGCCTGAAAAATGTGGGCGTATTTACATTTTTTGAACTCAAACCCCTGTCTTAAAAAAACACGTCACCTGACTTGTGATTCGTCATTCAAAAACATGTGAGAAAGCAAAGGGTAGGGAAGAACAAAACATGTGCAGAAGAGACATGGTCAAGCGGTCAGCGGTCAAGCGGTCAAGAAGAAGGCGTGTGTGATTTGCGTGTATTATTGTCCT